GATGCAGCTCAGATCGGGCTGGGAGAGTTTTGGGGAGATTCTGAGAAGACAGGAGCTGGTGTAAACTAACTCTTATTTAATCATTTTGAACTAATTCCTCCTTGGGGGATAGCAGTTGTTTTTTATTTACCCATTTTTGTATTTTTGATTTTGTAATAAACCTTTTTTGAAAAAGAAACATAATCCTGATTCTTTCAGGTTTTCTCTAAAGCTTCATGTTTGGGGCCCTGGCCATAAATTGCACAGAGGTAAGCATGTCGATCACAGGTCTCTGAATTATCAGGACTTACTTTGCAGTTTATAATAAAATAATATAAAGAAACCTTAAGATAAGGGGAGTTTTAACTCCCCCCTCCTTGCGAGTAACGAGTTGTCTTAAGGGCGATAAAAACAGAATATTAGAGGTTATTTTTGGCTCTGATTGCAGGTTGAAAAAGTCTCTACCAGCTGGAAGGTTGGATTAATAAATAAATTGATAAACTTATGATAGCCTGATCAACTAGCATAAATCATTTTATAGTTACCAACCTCCCACATAAGCTGTTAGAGGCGCAATTAATCCGGATAACCCAAAAAATGGCTGAGAGGCTTGGCTTGCCTCCAGACTTCTCTCTAGTATCTTAACCAAAAGGTAACGAGTTTAAAAGAAGTGGAATACTCTGGGGATTGCTATTCGTGCAAGTCATTTCACCTTTAAAATAAAAGACACGATTCTAATTAGGTGGTCCAAACCCGGGTCTGGTACGATTAAACTCGCCGACATCCCCACTCGAACCCTGATGGATGCACCGTCTCATAAGTTCTAACGGAACCAGTAAATGGGACGTGCACGCGACAACATTACTGCTACAAGGCTACGGCAAGCCGTTGTAGTATATAATTCACAAACGCTTCTATCTCTGAACATAATTAGAACTGGATTATTGCCAACCCGTACATAACAGACATGCCACCATTACACTGTTAGCAGCAGAAATTAAATGTTATTAGCATTTCCAACACAAGTGCATGTTAATGAAATGCATTATGTTTTACTGCATATATTTATGTGTTATTTAGACTAAGAAGAGTGGTCTTAATACAAACCTAAAATGTTACTGAAATAATAATAATAATAATGCATTGAACTTATATAGCGCTTTTCTAGACACCCAAAGACGCTTTCACACACTCTCACATTCACACACTGCTAGTGATGGTAAGCTACTTGTAGCCACAGCCGCCCTGGGGAGGTCTGACAGAGGCGAGGCTGCCATTTGGCGCCGTCGGCCCCTCTGACCACCACTAACACAGGCAAGTTGGGTGAAGTGTCTTGCCCAAGGACACAACAGCAGGATACCCCTGGCGGGAGCTGGAATCGAACCCATGACCCTCCGATCATGAGGCAACCCGCTCTACCACCTGAGCTACTGCTGCCCCAAATGTAGGTCAAATATATATAAATATTGGCTGTGTGATTCGAATGCAGCCCAGATTGGACAAAACAAGCAATAACTGGAGCTCCGTGTGTAAACTGGCCTGAACATGAAAATAGAAAACAAGAAACACAAGAAAAAGTTGTAAACGACAGCTTTACTTTAGAAAAAATATAGAAAAGTCAGACAACTGCTTAACAGTGAATCAAACACAGATGTGTAGAAAAGCAACTGTTGCTCAGAGTGCTCTTAAAGTTGCAGTTTGACTTGCTCTCATGTTTCCATAAGACCACCACCCACTCGACTAGGACACTAAATTCACTGAGCTGCATGCTGACTTAGCGACTGCACTCTGGAGTCACATGTGGAGGCTGTAGTAAGCATTTTGTTTTTGTCTTTAGCGCTGCAGACTAGGGCTGCACAATATATCGAAACATTATCGTCATCGCGATAACAGGACGTGCGATAGGCCCATCGCAAAGCACGTCAAAAACGGCGATAAATGTTTGGTTCAAACATTTCCATCCTTGTCATACATCAACTTTTTGTAAACCAGCTGTTTTTTACGCGGAAGTATTATTTGACCAATCAAATGTAGCCCTTCTGATATGCGGCCAATCAGATGGGTCAGTTCACGTAATACGCCCGCCCCCTACGTAGACCCTTAGGATGGAAAGCAACACCCGAACATTAGCGGCGCCGTTCCCTTGTTCGTCATGCTGGCTCAGAGCAACGAACGCACTTTGTGCTGAGGTTTCTGGAATCAGCGCTGCTTTCAAACGTGAACGTGACTCCGCTCGGTGTCGTTAATCATTTTTACCGGGCTGACTCCGACACGTGCCGGTGAACCAACCCACCTTCATGTCGCTAGTGTTAGCCCCAGGTTCCGGTTAGCTTCCAGCTAAAAGGCTACAGCACTCTCCTCCCAGTCCCACCCTGCTAAAGAGGGCCTGGAAAAGTTCCCCCACACATCAAAGTGATTTTTCCTTTATGAGCTTTTATAACCTTGTTAATCAGGATAGTTGATTTGCTGCTGCACATAAACTGTCAGTCAGAAGCTCTGCTAGCCGGTTGTCTTAGAGGAGCTAGTTCAGTTTGTTAGCTTGTTATCAGAATCATAGTTGCAGTTTCATCATCTGAGCTGATTTTTAAGATCTAGGTAAACTTGTTCAATTTGGGGTTAAAAACAAACGTTTTCACATGTTTTCCATGTAGTTTTTTGCCAGTTCCTCTTCTGAAAGGTAGACAATAGTTTTTCTCTTTCCCTCAGAAAATCTTAATATTCTCCTAGTTTGGCCCAGCACAGTTCACTTCCCAGTTACAGCAACAGCCTTCTATCATAACCACATAAGTGGAGAAAATGTTCAGTAGCAATGAGAGAATTTGCTGTTGCATTTAAGTGATGTTAACTGTTATTTAACATTTAAACTTATTTTCTGATTTTTTATTTATTTATTCTAAAAACGCTGGTAAGGGATGTTTTTCTGTATTTGGAGCATCAGAACAAGTTTTATGGTGGAGGTGAAGTTTTAAAGTCACTGAGAAACTGCATGCAGTTTGTTGTTTTGCTGCTAATACAGTAGCGGGTGCGGCCGCTAATACAGCAGCAGGTGCACCCGCTACTGTATTAGCGGGTGCGGCCGCTAATACAGTAGCGGGTGCGGCCGCTAATACAGTAGCGGGTGCGGCCGCTAATACAGTAGCGGGTGCGGCCGCTAATACAGTAGCGGGTGCAGCTGCTAATACAGTAGCGGGTGCAGATGCTAATACAGTAGCAGGTGCAGATGCTAATACAGTAGCGGGTGCGGCCGCTAATACAGTAGCGGGTGCAGCTGCTAATACAGTATTGGGTGCAGATGCTAATACAGTAGCGGGTGCAGATGCTAATACAGTACCGGGTGCAGATGCTAATACAGTATCGGGTGCAGATGCTAATACAGTAGCGGGTGCAGCTGCTAATACAGTACCGGGTGCAGATGCTAATACAGTAGCGGGTGCAGATGCTAATACAGTAGCGGGTGCAGATGCTAATACAGTAGCGGGTGCAGATGCTAATACAGTACCGGGTGCAGATGCTAATACAGTAGCGGGTGCAGATGCTAATACAGTACCGGGTGCAGATGCTAATACAGTAGCGGGTGCAGATGCTAATACAGTACCGGGTGCAGATGCTAATACAGTAGCGGGTGCAGATGCTAATACAGTACCGGGTGCAGATGCTAATACAGTAGCGGGTGCAGATGCTAATACAGTACCGGGTGCAGATGCTAATACAGTAGCGGGTGCGGCCGCTAATACAGTAGCGGGTGCGGCCGCTAATACAGTAGCAGGTGCAGATGCTAATACAGTAGCAGGTGCACCCGCTACTGTATTAGCGGGTGCGGCCGCTAATACAGTAGCGGGTGCGGCCGCTAATACAGTAGCGGGTGCAGCTGCTAATACAGTATCGGGTGCAGATGCTAATACAGTAGCGGGTGCAGATGCTAATACAGTACCGGGTGCAGATGCTAATACAGTAGCGGGTGCAGCTGCTAATACACTAGCAGGTGCAGCTGCTAATACAGTAGCGGGTGCGGCCGCTAATACAGTAGCGGGTGCAGCTGCTAATACAGTATCGGGTGCAGATGCTAATACAGTAGCAGGTGCAGATGCTAATACAGTAGCGGGTGCAGATGCTAATACAGTAGCGGGTGCAGCTGCTAATACAGTAGCGGGTGCAGCTGCTAATACAGTAGCGGGTGCAGCTGCTAATACAGTAGCGGGTGCGGCCGCTAATACAGTAGCGGGTGCGGCCGCTAATACAGTAGCGGGTGCGGCCGCTAATACAGTAGCAGGTGCGGCTGCTAATGCAGTAGCGGGTGCGGCTGCTAATACAGTAGCAGGTGCGGCTGCTAATACAGTAGCAGGTGCGGCTGCTAATACAGTAGCAGGCGCAGCTGCATATTTTTGTTATAAAAATGTTACGCTGTAATGGAATTCATGCATTAGTTTTGTTTGCTTTGAACCCAGAGCAGACGTCACACGCCAGACGACATCCACACTGCATACTTTAGTATTTGTTCATTTATCGTGAGTAATATCGATATCACAATATTAAGCACTGTTATCGAATATCGTAGGTTTTCCTAATATCGTGCAGCCCTACTGCAGACCATTTATTGCAGCACGGAAATACTGAATACTTTCACAACTTTAAAATCAAAAAGATAATCAGTCCATCGTCATTCTCCTTCCCGGCACCTCCGTTCTGCTGACTCCAACCTCCTTTTCCCTTTCAGAACAAAACATGGCACCATGGGGGATGGAGCCTTTGCAGCCGCTGCCCCCACACTTTGGAACTCTCTCCCACTAAACATCAGGAATGCCGTCTCTCTTTCTACGTTTAAGTCACTGCTTAAAACCCACTTCTTTAAATTGGCCTTCTCTTAAGATCAACCCAGCATCCCCCAGTCTGTTTACTATGTTTCATGTTGTTTTATTAAGTGTTATTGCATTTTTTTGTGAAGCCTGACTGACCTAAAAAGTGCTATACAAGTTTAATGAATTATAATTATTATTATTATTGTTATTGTTATCATCACTTACAACCACAGAAGGAAAAGTGTGTCCCCACTTCCTGTTCAGCCATTTTCCTGCACCAGATCTGGCGTTTACAGATGTTTCACACCTGTGTGAATAACACAGCTGTCTAAGAGAAAAACCACTTCTCCAACTCATTTACTTATTTACATATCTGAAAGGTGGCAGCCCTACCTGTGTCCATGCTGTCCAGGTCCAGGTGGTGAAGAACACACGATGAATCAGTCCCAGCTGATGGATGATCCTGAAGTGGTAGCAGGTATTCTTTAGCCGTGTTTAGCTAACAGCTGCAATAGAAACAAAGCAGGAGAGCTGATTAAGATGCTGTTTCAGAACAACGCAGGAGATTAAAGATCCAACGCTTTGGTTCTGGCCAAAGGACGAGCAGCAGATCCAGAGGGCAGGAAGTCTAGAGAAAAGCTTTTCTCACCCACAACCTGATTCTGGAGCTCCGATTGTCACCAAGACCGCAGAATATCTTCTCTGGTTCTGGAAAGAACTCCACCAAGTTGTTGAGGAGGAGAAGAAAGTTCCCACAGCCTGGTGAGAAGATTTCTGCAGCAGCAGCAGTTAGTCGCTTTAGCTGATCAACTCTCCCAGAGACTGAAGTGAAGACATTTTTACTGCAGAGCCTCAAACATTCTCAACCTTACTCAACATTCTCCTCACACACCACAACAACAACAAGCTAGCTCTGCTTGCAGCTTCCGGGTTCTGCTTCTTCCGGGGTCCGTGACTAGCGTAAAGGTGCACTAGCGCCACCTGCTGGAGCAGAATAAAACACACCTGTGTGTTCAGAATGGGACTAATAAAACACACATAACGTGTTATATTTTTATTATTTTTGGTGGTCTCTTCAAAAGCCACGAAAAACGAGTAAAATAGGTTTTTCTTTATGATGTTTTGTTATCTAAATCTGACCAGTTTTATTCTTTATGAACTTCAAACAAAATAAAAAATCTTACTTTCTATAAAGAATGTGATAGAAACTTTTGATGTTGTTACTTTTATTTTTAGCAGCTCTGAGAAACAAATAAAAGTGTTGGGAAGGTGCTGATTAATTCATTATAGCTTCATGTAATGCTTAATGAGGCCACCAGAGGGCGTCGCTCTTGTTTTCTCCACTCACTGAGCTCTGATGGGCAAAAGTAAAAAATAAGTTTCTATTTAGAATAAATATTGCTCATATGTAATATAATATAATAAATACTCAGTATAAAGATATAGTACATGTGTAACTGTTGTGTTTTTCACTCAAGTCCAGAATCATGTCTTCAGTTTCTGAGGTGTTTATGGACGGGTTGTCTCCAGAGCACCATGGGTTAGTGATAGGACAATGGAGACAGGCTTCATCATTGGACACAAAGACAGAGACTACCATCAGCCAGGAGCTTGTTGTGTTCATCTTACAGAGCAGAGCACTCTGTGCATCACCCACTTACAAAATGGTGCTGCACAGCTGATGGACACTGGGAATCAAAAACAGGAAGGCTGGAGCGCAGGTGAGCGAAGGTTTACTAAAACAAAATAGAACAGATTAACAGACCATATTCTATAAAAGCTTCCAGTGTGTAAGAGAGAGCAAGGCAGAAACACAACAAGTTATAATGCTCTTAAATAGATAAGATTAGTTCAGATCCTAAATAAAATAAAGAGCTATAGGAAGCAGGAGAGACTGTTCTCAAAGCCAGCTTGAACAAGTGAGTCTTCAGCTTAGGTGTGTTCTTGCTGTGTCGTTCTAATTCGCGAAACGTGGCGTCAACAGGTAACAAACCCGTTTCTGTGTTTTAAAAAAGAACGACAACATGGAGTCTTCAGCTGCTTCTTAAAGGAGACCACTGAGTCCACTGATCTCAGGCTCAGGGGGAGAGAGGTCCAGAGTCTGGGGGCCACAGCAGCAAATGATCTGTCACCTTTGACCTTTAGCCTGGTGCTGCACAACCAGTAGGCTTTGATCACTGGACCTCAGGGACCTGCTGGGGATGTAGGGACTAAGAAGATCACCAATGTAAGATGGTGCTTGTCCATGTAAGGCCCTATAGACCAGAACCAGGATCTTGAAATGAACCCTGAAGTTGACTGGCAGCCAGTGAAGCTGGAGGAGAAGCGGGGTGTAAGTGCTTTACACTGTTGCCACCGATCCCTCTGACCACCACCAGCAGGCTAGGTGGGTTAAGCGTTAAATGGCGTTCTATACTTTTCAGCAACACTCTAAAAGTGAAACCTTAGGTCAGCAGCTCATCATTGTGTAACAAAACTGAGCCACCTCTTCATGGAAACATTTACAGCTTAGTGGCCACAATATGGGGCTTGCAGGACAGGAAGAGGTGGCTCATGGTCTGGAAGAGACCCTGATCTAGGGTACAGGACAACAACCAGGGTTGCAATACTATCTAGGATCTAGATACTACAATGCTCATTTTGGTACTTGTGTAGTTAAATTAGTTCACTGAGCCCTGTGTGGACTCTCATGTTGTAGCGAGCGTCCACTTTGTGGTCCGTTAGAATACGCTGCTTTTTCAGGGAAGTTGAGGCCGCAGTGTTTTATTGTACAGACCCTGGTTTGGACTCCCTTGTAGAACTTGTCTTCTATTTTAAGGTGGAATGGAATAACCGTACTTGGTTTCCTGAGTCAACACACCCTCCTTGTAGGTTCCCGTTACTCAGTGGTTTTGAGTACTAGGGCGAGGGTTACTGGAGGCCAACGCAGCTGACTATTATTTGGGTCCTATCAGGATTAATTTGCGCCTCTGTCAGCATATGTGGGCGGTGGTAACTAGAATGATTCCCGTTAGGTGATCAGTCTAACATGGATTTATCAATTAATCTAATTGAGCCAACCTTTGAAATGGTTCCTTCCCACGCTGGCCAGAGACTTTTTCAAATGTGCAGAACAGAGCCTGTTTGAACCAACTAACCATAAATGGCTTATCACCCTTAGGATGTCCCGCTACAATAGGGAGGAGGAGAGGCTAAGCTCTCATTACCTAAGGTATCTTTTCTTATCTGTCACAACCTGATACAAGTCCTGAAGCACAGGTACAAGCAATAAGGTGGCTTACCTTTACCAACAACAACTTCAAGCTATTTCAAAATTCAGTTTATTAAGTCAGTCGAAACCTTTTTGTTAACTGTAAACATTAGCTGTCCACTAAAACATCTCATTCTTATTCAAAACCTCATATAAATGTTATTGGTCACAAATGGTCGGTCACAAAGGTGTCAAGGCCACGTTCGGTGCCCTGAGCCAGGTTGCTTATTGGCCGGGGATGCGTCGTGACATCTCAGACCACGTCGAGCGTTGCTTGGTTTGTTGTCAGTTTCAGCCGTCCAACCCTACGCACAGAGCTCCCCTACAGGAAAGGGGGCCGACCACTCCATGGTCGGACTTGCAATTCGATTGGGTGGGGCCTCTGACCAAAACCACCAGGGGAAGTAGATATATGTTGACTGTCACCTGTGCATTCACCAAATGGGTTGAATGTTTGCCAGCGCCTGATGACACGGCGAAGACGACAGCGATCCTCTTGATGAACCACGTCTTTGCCCGCTTCGGTCTGCCCACGCGGGTCGACTCGGACAGGGGTACCCATTTCACCTCTGAAGTGATGAGACATCTGTGGAAACTGTTGGGTGTCAAGGCTAAGTTCCACATTAGCCACCGTCCCCAGTCTTCTGGACAAGTCGAAAGGGTGAACCGCACAGTTATCAGCATGTTGAAGAAGTACGTGTCGGCTAACCACCAAGATTGGGATGTGAAGCTTCCGTTGGTCCTCATGGCCATACGGGCTACCCCCCACGAGTCTACAGGCGTCTCCCCGTTTGAAATGATGACGGGCAGACAAATGACCCTACCACTTCACCTGCTGTATCGACGAGTTCAACCCGACACCGCCCCGGCTTGTACGAGCGACCAATATGTGCAGGACCTGAGAACTCACCTGCTTGCAGCATTCTCGTTCGCACAGGCATCTCTGGAAAAGTCAGCTGAAGGCAGAAAAACTTATTACGATAAGAAAGCCTCACATTCCGAGCTCGAGGTGGGTGATGAGGCCTGGTACTACATTTTCGCTCCCAAAACGGGTGGCAATAAGGGAAAGCTGGCTAAGAAACTTTTGCCCAAATGGTCGGGTCCATACCTGATAACAGATAAGATCTCTCCAGTCGTGTATCAGATCAAGATCGCCCGCAAAAACAGGGCGCCCGTCTACAAATGGGTACACAGGGACCATATCAAACTGAACAAGGGTTCCGCAGATTTGGCCGATGACAACAACAATCTACCGACTTCAAAAGGGGGGTGAAAAATACGTCCCGTTGGTTCCACAGTTTTCTATCTCAGGTTACACAAATTTGTTTGTTTGTGAGTGTGCATGGTTGTCTTTCATGTTATACGTCACGTGCAGACTTAGGATGTGTTGAGACGGACGTGCTGTGGGCTCCTGGAGTCAGGTAAACGGCCAGGTAACAGTAAGTGGGTTAGGCCACATAGTACTGTTGTCCAAAATTTTTTTTTTTTCTCTTTACTAATCATAATTCCTTATGGGTACATTCACATGATGGGATTACTAACTACTGATTTACATTTTAGTACTGATTTACATTTCTGTTTTTTATAGTATCTTTGAAGTTGATTTAAAGGTGATTGCTGTGATTATCAAGTTGATTTACCTTACGGGCTATAACCAATTTTGCCCCTATCCTGACAGCGTGTATTTCCAGTGAGGATTCACTTATACCAGTTAGGGTTCTTTCATTTTCTGCTTTTCGCATCATCCTTTTTGCATCTTACACAGAGAGGGTTGCATCCATTTCTTCACTTAATGGGTAATTCACATAAAACTTACACATAGTACAACAGGTACTCATAGAGTTAGGTTTTTATTTCTTTGATGACATGAAATGCCATTTTGTCGTGTCTACATTGAAGTGCCTGCACTGTGCTCTCTCTCCTCTGCTGAGCTCGTGAGGATCCTGCTTCCTGGGGGTGGATCCGTGACTCGTCATCTGAATCGACTACTCCTGGGTGGTGCTCCGGCTCGTTGGCCTTGGACGACCGTGGTTCCGGCATGGCTGCTGGGACACCTCATTCGTTGGGATTATTGTCTACTACTCTTCCCTTTTTGTGGATTACGATAAGTACTGTTACAAAGCTCAATTTTTATTTGGAATATTACCCTGCCAGTGGATGTGAAGATCAATTTGCTTTTTGGAATAATTACCTGCTCGTGGATATACACAAGATTTGCTCCTGCTTTGCTTTTTGCCCGTGAGGATATAAAGCTGCTGTTGCTTCAACTGTGGCTTCCCTGGGTAATAGTTAATAACCTGCTGACTTGTTTTCTTCCTGAGGAGTGTGCGAGACTGTTCTTCGGCGTGGGGTTCGTACCTCACCACAGTTGGCTGTTCCAGTGGGATCGCGTCCTGTCGATCGTGAAGATTCTTCATAACTTGGGTTTGTTCAACGACCAAGTGGTCTCTTGCAGGACCACATTGACCTTGAAAAGGGGGGATGTGTAGCGTTAGGAAGTTTATAATGGTCTGCCCTTAACAGCTGCCCCTTCACACAGTAACATCGCCAAGGTCGGACGCTTGGTTCAGTATGTTTACATTCCAGGAGAAGAGACAGAAGAACAGAAGAAGAACGCTTTTCATTAATTAATCAAAGTACTTTATTTATGATAAGCTAATCAAAGCATTTGTTGATCATTAATAATCAGGTGAATGATCTGTGAAATAAAGATGTCATGAGTTATGTGTTTAAATGAATAAACAGGATGGCACCAGACACACTGATATGCATTACCATGGAAACGCATGACACATTGTTTTCAACCACTCAGAACTTTCGTCTGTGGTAGGGCAGAATCTGGTTTGTTTATGAAAATAGTCCAATCCGGTTGACTAAGATTTTTAAACAACTGGGAGATATAAAAAGAAGGCAACGCCATTTTAAGTTCAGTTCCACGTTAAGTTCCACTTTGACATCAGCTCTGCTCGATCCGA